TATGTATATATCCTCTGAGGGTATTCAAACTAAAAGGATTTTTTATTTCCTGATTTTCTTTTTAAAACACAGCTGTCAAATTTTCTCTGGGCCCAAGTTACTCTATTTAAATGAGAAAGAAACTGAGGTTTCTTTATGCTTTCCCCAAATAATTTTATTGTCAATGATCATTCCTTGTCATTGTCCAGATTGTATGCATGGTATTATAATCAAAACTAGAAATGAAAAATAAAGAGATGGGAAAAGGTAATACACCAATTCTCATAGGGCTCTTGGTATAAGATTTCATATATCTGCTAGTTAAAGTATTCTATGTATTTTCTTAAAGTTTAAATAAATCACCTATCAGAAGTTGCTCAGCAGAATATTAGGATTAAAGCTATTGATGCCTCAAGTATAGGCAGGAACTAATTTTGTGGTTTAATAATTGCAGGTGGGTCTTGTGCACATCATGGCCAGTTTTGAAGATGCTGACACAGAAGAGACAGTAACTTGTCTCCGGATGACTGTTTACCATCCTGGGCAGTTGGAAAGTGGAATATTTCAATCAATAAATTTTGGTAGCCGAGAGAAACTCCCTTCCAGTGACGTGGTGAAATTCGGCCGAAATTCTAAGGTCTGTCTTTATACTTTTCAGGACAAACAGGTTTCCCGAGTTCAGTTTTCTCTGCAGCTGTTTAAAAAGTTCGACAGCTCAGTTCTGTCTTTTGAAATTAAAAATATGAGTAAGAAGACCAACCTGATTGTTGACAATAGAGAACTGGGCTACCTAAATAAATTGGACCTGCCATACAGATGCATGGTCAGATTTGGAGAGTATCAGTTCCTGCTGGAGAAGGAAGATGGAGAGTCATTGGAATTTTTTGAGACTCAGCTGATTTTTTCTTCAATATCACTCTTACAAGAAAACAAGTGGCCATCACACAATCCCATACCTGAGTATGGCCGTTATTTTTCATCCTGTTCCACCCAAAGCTCTTCTCCTACAGAAATGGATGAAAACGAATAATGAACACAGGGTCTGAGATGAGAAACATGAAGGATGAACAGCTCTGTAGACACTTTATAGACACTACTTATTAAGAGTTTATTAGTGTAGTAAATTATAGTCATTTGTTATGCTGTCAAATTTGGGAGTTTATCATTTTAAAGTCTGTAAATTATATTAGTCATCAACTTAGTCACCTGTTGCCTTCTTGGATCTGTAACGAATCTGTGAGGGTTAATGTAAAAAAAAAAAAGAAATCCTTTGTGATAAAATAGTGTTCTCAAAATATGGTTATATTATTTTCTCTTTCCGCTTGATTTTCGTCCTGTATTTCGTTGTTTTTGTAAGGAACCGT